ACTATGTATTTAATTTACTTTTTTTGTAATTTAAAGCGAATTTTCTGTACTTCTGGCAATTTCAGCCGACCTGGAATAAACCCTGATTTACCTCATTTTGTAATTTAGAGCGAATGTAAGCTTTATTTACTTAACATTTACTTTTGGCAATCCATTTATTTATGTATTCATTTTTATCTGGAGCTTTGTTTACTTTTATGAATTTTATGGAGAATTAAACATCCATTTACCTTTGGAATCTTATGCTTTCATATAAATTTTACTTTTTATGTCAAGTGAAAACTTTCGATTATTTAATGAATATAGATAAAAGATTAAATATTTAGTATGTTTTTTCCTCAACTTAATAAGAGCACTTTGCCAAACCAGCTTAACTTCTCCAATTTTAAACCATTTAAGCTATACTTAAATAAAAACTGAGATCTAATCAAGGCACATTCATTTAATTTTTATAATTGAAACGTAAATAAATAATAATTTAATTTTTACATGCTTTTCAATATTTGTTTTTTTCTTTTTTAATTCATAAAAGTACTTAGACTTCAATTATTTTAAGTGCATATACACATACCTTTATTTGTCTGCAACATACTCACCCAGCCAGCCACGTCTTCAGCTATAAAAAGTGCATTTTCACTAACGCTTTCAAGTGTTTGACTAGTGAGATGAGCTTTTTATGAATTTTTACGCATTATTTTACTTAATGCCAATCATCATATAAGATTATATGTGTATACGTATGCATAGGTATGAGCCATTACTTGATTATGCAATTGTTTTTAACTCGCGCTGCGTAGTTGACGGACGCCACACCCTGCCAAATACCATGCAGCATCAAAACAAATCAAAAGATATTTTTTATATTTATATGTGTATACATATGTAGTCTCAATGTCAGCTACAAAAACGCTTACATCCAAGCGCATTGTTGTGGTGAAGTGACTAATAAACTAGCTAACTGGGTAAATAGCATTGTAATGAACCCACTCGTGGCGCGCGGTTGGCGCTGTTTGCTTACATACACATACTATATATGTATTAATAGTAAAAAATATACCAGTAGGCACCTGCATGGCTAATGATACTCAACTGACAATTGTGTGGCTTACTATTATCTTTTTGCTAATAATAAAAGGTTGTAATATATTTTTTCTATTTTTATTTTTTTGGCTTTGTGAAAGGACCCAACTCTCTAATCAATTTTTTCACATACATATGTATGTGTATGTATTTATTGAAATGGCAAGTGGTGAGCCAATAAAACTATAATTGAAAGTAGCACTTCAGCTTTACTTTCTGCCGTTAGTTGCAAGCTATGTAATACACACAAACATACGTACATACACTAATGACTTAGTTGACTTAAGTAAGAGTTGCGCGAAAAATAAAACCAACACCGCTAATTATGGGACTTAGAGCCGCCGCTGCTTTCAGTAAACGCTAAATAAATATAATTTGTAATAAGCGAAATATCTGAAAAATTCATAAATGCGCATACGTTGTTGCAAAAAAGTAACTGTACACCTTTCTCATGACAAGCGCAGTATTTGTGGTATGTTAATGGCATTGAAAATTAACTCAATCGCATTATATGTGTAATAATATGAATAACAATCATGTGCAATGCGATAATACAACAATCATTTGATGCTTGTATGTATACATACACATGTATACTCACGTAACTGTGTCGCTCATTTTGTGATTCATCAAGCATTACTTGCAACTTGTATGCGATATTGTCTCAGATAATTGATTGACAATACATGAAAAATTGCAAGCAGCTGTTGATTTGCTGCCAAAATGGTTTTTATTGTATAAAAACGCAGATATGTGAGTTATGAAAAAATTGTTTAAAAATTTGCATCAAAAGTGACCTTCCCTTTCGTAATGCAAAAGATTAGATTGAAGACACAGGCTTTTAAATGTCGTAAGCAGTTTTGGTGTTATAAATGAACGAATCATGAGTTTACTTAAGTCTTGCTGATTTTGCTACCAAAAAATTTTATTACAGATATGCGATGGCTATAAACTATTCCATCCATTTTGAAACTATTGTGAAAAAAAAATATTTTTTTTAA